GTACGTCACACGGATGACGGTCAAACTCGGAAAATAAGCAGATACGTGCATGCTTCGTGCATATCAATTGTTCGAGCGTGCCACCGTCGAGAAGGTTTCTCTCCACACGGAGTAGTAATTTTGTGCGTGTCCACGTTTGTCCGTGAATCACGCTCTTCTGGCAAGACGGCTCTAAGCAAAGTGGTAATTGCATGGAGACCGTTTGTTGTGATTTTAAGATGAATGCGTAGGGCATAATCATCAATGTCCTACACATTTTTTGTCATCTATAACTTAATACCGATCTGATAAGATATTCTTTTTTTCCCCTTCTACCGTATCATAATTATCAGAAAGTTCTGTCGGCTAGACTCTATTTTATCATCAGATAATAAAATTTAAGCTGGGTTTTTGCATCAGAATCAAATTCAATAATGCGGATTGGTTGGGCTTACTTCTTGTAAAATCAATGTCACACTCTCATACAAATAAAATGATGGATAGCATCTATAAACCAAAGTAGGATATGTGTTGTGCATGCAATACTTCACTGCTTGTGCACTACTAATCAGTACGTTTTGCGTGCAGACACTAGCCGTGTTTATATTTTATGAGACCAATGACTGATAAGCCCGAAAGCATTTTAGAATTTTAGAGTGAATGCTTACTCGATAGATAGATAGAAATCATTTTTATTGATCGGGATACGGAATTTGTGTCTGCTCAGTCCAACTGTGTAGTGAGGAGGACGTAATTAATGTCCGGATGTAGAACAGAAGGTTGTAGTCACAATCCGCCGCTATACTTCGTCATATCAATCACACGTTGATTTATTGGGTAACCTTAGAAGTAAAACATCATCAAAACCTCGCACTGTTACGTATAAGAGGCCCACCGTCTTGCAAAATGGAGAAAACAGGTTCTACTTTTTACGGGCTTTGCTAACGAGAAGAGTTTTTTCGCCCTTGTCTCCTTATTTTCTCACAGCTGGGAAAATAAATCAAACTAGCGATTAGGTTCGGCATGCAGGGGAAGAATTGCGCTTCTCGTTAGGCCCTTACCCTTTCTAATTTAATCAAGACATGTAGAGAATGCAAAAAGAAAATAAAAATGCCCAGTTTTTATCGTCTTTCATTCTTATAACGTGATTGACAGTTGCAGGATGACCGCAGTAAGTATTTAACAAAGAATTGCAGCCGTCGGTTATCTGGTTAGAAGAGAAATTAGTTTTTTTCCTTTAACAACTCCTTAAATCGTCAGATCCTGGTGGAAGGATAATGAATGGCGACGGGCTGTTGACAAGAGTACACAATTGGCGGTGTGAGGGGCGAAGTTAGGTAAACAGACCACTAACAATGTATGTCTGATGGGTCGATTGATCCAGAAAAAGGTCTTTAAATTGATGAAATTGTTCGCGCTTGCTATAACGGTGTAGTCGAGCAATCTGTGATAATTTCATTAACGTTCTTGTAGATGTTTGTCTTTAGTTATCCCTCTTTTGATCAAGCCGGCTTCCTATCTCCGACAATTAGATATGAGCCGACTAGCTCTAGCCATTTTTCACAACTTGTGTTATCTTTAACAGTTTGCACTCTTCTGTCATTGTTTATACTGCCTGCAAGATTATCGATCGCGGATATCTATCGATACTCTAGCAATCTCACCGCATATCCTTTCTTAATATTTTCTATACTTATCGTCGATTGAGTAGTTTTGCGCAATTGGCCTAATGAAAGACGAGAAAAGCATGAATGCTTCGACGATCACCATTGGCTTATTATTATCCGGCAAGCATAAATCATGCAGATGAACCCCGAAACTGAATTAGTTGATTGATATCACTGGCTAATAGAAGAAGAAATCAATTGAAATTCCAATTTTATTACTATAAAAATAAAAAATAGGAAATATTTTAAAGAGTAGCATGGAGAAAGAACCAACGGAGATAACAATAGAGAAGCAGTGTATTTATTTCAATCGATAGAATCCGACACGTCCTCGGTTGAGGTTGTTCCTGAATGTTTGTTGATTTTCTGGACCCATGTCAGTCAGACCCACCTTCCGGGTTGATCGATAGGACCAGTCTAAACACAACCGGTACATGTGTCGGCGAAACGTCTGTTTTTCCTCGCACACATAAACACGACTTCAATTACCTGTTTCCTGGCCGACTATGGGCCAAAGTAACACTCCAAAAGTAAGAGTTTATTGCTTTATTGCTTCTGCTCGATGGAGTCTTAAAAGTAAAGCAATATTAGGATCCGATTTAATTTTTTCTCTCCCTCTTGTGTCGGCCGTGGTATGCATTCGGGCGTTAAATCCGGGTTAAGTTTGTTAAAATGAAAGTTTCTGATTACATCACTTATTTTTTTTTTTCCTTCAAACTTTTTACCTTATTTTTTATTATTTTTTTTCGATTTATAAGCGTATTTCACATTCTCCAGGGAGAATTTAAGTGGCTTTTGCAGTTGCAAATGTAAAATACGAATCGTAATGGCCGTGCCAATTAGGTTTTGCCGAATTAATAGCATTGAAAGGGAACAACTCCTGTCTGCTGACTAAAATAGCCCGAATAGAAGCGAGTTAACCAAATACCATTATGAGCGGTAATATTTCTTTATAGAGTCGAAAACGCTAGGGAATATGTCCGGTCCGGACACCCGAATGTCTCGCAAATGGCGAAGGCAACATAATGGATGCCATTAATATTCACACCAATGCCTTGGACGTTCTTTGGGGAAGGATGAAGAAATTTGCATAATTATATGAAGTTGTGTTTGTTGTACGTGGGAATGAAGCATCCCGACACACATTAGCTGGGAGGGTGTTTTTCGGCACGGCGTGCGGGAGAATGTAGAACAGGTGTCCCGGCTGCCATCCCATTACCTGCAAATGCATTGGGACGGGATGGAAAAAAAGTGCATCTTGTTTCTCCTTAGAGGACGCGATGTGCTTATAAAATAGCGTACTCCGAGGAGGCTTTCTCCTGTCTTTTTCTTTATATAAATCGTGATTGAATATTGTTTATTTAAAGATCATCTTCGGCATTTATTATATAAAATACTTAGTTCTCGTCGATATCTAATTTGATTGCAAATTTTATATTTCGCTAGAATTTCCTATTGGAAATCGATTTAAATGTTCCATCAGGATACCAGAAGAAAATGTGAAAGAAGACAAAGTGCTCGCCACTAGTTAGGTATATATGCACCCAGCAGGGGATGGTACTTTACACAGAAATCATCCGCCTTCTTCTAAGTATTTCAGGAAACATTAAGTTTCCGTCAGACTAGGGACTTCATGCTACATTACCATCTGATTTAGAGCAATGCATAATTATCAATTGTCTGTAAGCAGATGGAATCCATCTTCTTTTGCTTGAGTAAAAACCGAGTATGAGCCGCAGGAATCTTGTTAGGAGGCCAACTTAAAAGAAAGGATGCCAATTTTGTCTCGTTTATTTAAATTAGATTTCGTGGACAGAAGGAACCCGTCTGTGACTTTCAAAAATCTGCAAGACCATTCGTATTGTTTTATGTTTTCAAAACACATCGTGGGCGCAACGATTCCTTTTTTATTATTTTATTTCTTTTACGACGATTTGATGGTAAATTATGCGCGGTTATAATGCATTATTCAAGTTATAAACGAGCATAAAAATCTGTCAGTTGGAGTTACTCAAAAGTCAGCAAATCCTTCCTGGATATTGACTTTAAGTCGTAAAAACCGATGAGAAAATAATGCTAAATTTTTAGGCTCACGTCACAGTGACGTCATTCGTGCGCTGTGTCACGTGACGAGGATTACGATCACCTTCCAGTCTATTGATTTGTGATTGCACCACTAGAGGGGTGCTCATAAATCTCGGCCAGTGTGCTCGTTAAAGTACAGACTGAGTGTGTAATAGCAAGCATCGAAGGTAATAAAGACAGATGGGTAACCTTAAAATAATTACGCTACACTAAACAGCCCGTCACATTCGAAACCATCCTTCTCCTTGTTTGTTATCAGCTCTTTCGCTTCTCCATCTGCCAATGCGGGTTAACATAAATTCTTCATCTATTTTTGATTCCGCCACTTAATGTATTACAGAAAAACAATCCTCTCCCTTCGTTTCACTAATCAGGCCAATTTAATAATTCTTCTATATACAGAGCCAAGACTATAATATGGCGTAAAGGGGTGATGTTGACAAAATGTCTTTCGATTATTGCGATCCACCACAGAGCATTTTAAGTAGCTCATCTGCTTTTTTAATTTTAGCATTCGACCTACGTCTGCAAATAAACCCACAATCAATGAAGCTTTGTCAACAATTGGTCACGATGTCGTCCACCAAGTACCTTTGAATTTATGCCAAAAATGCTATATATATAATCTTATAAGTTATGGTTAGGGAGATATTATTTAGGTTTAACCAAACAGCCGCCATTATGAAGTTTATAAAATCATTTCGACGTGAATTATGAATGCAAATGTACTAGCGTAATTTCATTTGTTTCACTCTCATAAATAGCTGTATTCGTTTTATTTCCCACCGCTGCATTAGCCATTACAATCTATTAAAATAAATGATAACACGATGTGGAGTGCAGCTTACGCCTACGTCCATTCTAAATTTCCTTTGTGATAGAATAATGGATTTTTTTTTACTCCTAGACGTAAATACTCTTTCTAATTATTAAGCTTTAATTAATTTTTTACGTGTATTTTAAATTGATAAATTACTATTGTTGTTACTTCCGAATCTGCAACAATTCCCTAGTTATATTTCTTCAGACAATATAAAAATAACTCGGTGTTTCACCAGATACCTGAGAAGGTCGGTGGGCCAGCCCGCGGAATGCTATACATAGAATAGTTGGGAATTTCGACAGAGGGTAAGAAATTAAAGAAGAGTCGGGATGGAAAGACGATGGCAAACATGGCGAGATGGAGTGGTGGTGTTTGCCCACTGTCATATATCTTCCTCTTATGAAAGTTTGAGAAAATATAGCACGATTCTCATTTTTTGTTTGCAGAAGGAACCGAGGATGGAAGGAACGGATAGAGAACGGATGTGACATCATAGGTTTCCCGGATGTATGTGTAGTGCAGTGAAGAGGATGGAAAAACTAGTGTTGCTTCTCACAGTACCTTACTTATATTCGTCGGTCGTGGGCCTGGATTTATGTAAGTGAAATATTATTATTTTTTTCGTTATATTCTCGGTATTCGAAAAAGAGACAATCGCGAATTCCATCTCTATATTTTTCTACTTCATACAAACGAAATATTTGTATGAAAAAAACTTTTCGAGGATCAGCATCTTTTCTTATAACGCTTTCAATATTGGATGCGTAGCTCGCGTAACTCTAGAAAAGAGCATTAAGCATAGAATTTGACAGATACAATAGCCTTGCCGAGGATTTCTACCCCGACTAAGACATCTCCCTTTGCCGTCAGCGACTACTAACGATAAATTAAACCATTACTGGAAAATTACCCCGGAAACATCTCTAACTGATCTAAAGTGGCAATTATCATCTCTTCCACAATGTTGAATGCAGTCATTGAATGCTGCAATAAAGGTACCCTTTCTGAGCTTGGTATCCAAGAGTAATGCCTTCGTTCCAACTCGACATTAGCGCATGTAATTCTGTCATTCAATTCTGTGATTATATTATATACATAGAATATAATTACGCCAAACGAAATATGTCATTCACTAGCTAAAGATCCATTCAAATCAAGACATATTCTTCAATCATTAAATTTACTTTAAAGATAAAAAATTCTCAAAAACTCATTAACAATATTCGTTAGAAATTGTCTTTTATTCTGGACAAAATTACAATACCTCGGTCGTTGCGAATCGCTGATTAGAGGGGCATCACAAAAGCTGGTTTCAATCAAAATGGGTGGAGATGTAAGACCTATTTTGAAAGGAATTCAAAGAAAAGGAAAAATTGCGAAACTGGGTGGTAAAAATTGTGCCAAAATCGTATTCTAGATTTTTTGTTCCTTGCCAGAAGCGTGGCGACTTTGAGAATATTTAAAATTCGTCAAACGTTGCGCTTGTAGGAATTTCCTAGAAACGTCGACCATCTTTTCGGTGTAGAAGATAAAATTGGCACTAAAAAGGGGGCGACAGGCAAGATCTAAAGCAATGTCAATGACATAAACGTCCGAAGTTGTCAGACAATAAAAGATTGATCTAAGATAATAAGAGATTTCGATTTAGCGATGGGGGTTGAGCATGGCCACTGATGGATCCTTTCCCAGAAAGTTTTTTGTTTGCAGAGGACACGAAAATGATCGAAGACGCAGCTAAAAACACGTACCTTCTATCGACTAGACCCACTTAGACACAAAAAGATGCTTAATATTTAATTCATTCCTTTTATTCAGCTCCACCGCTAGAGTAGGTTGGAATAAATTTCCTAGAGAAGGGTCGTTAGCCTGTAACTATGGCAACTCTCCGCATTTCTCACCTGGATAGTTCCCACGATCGCGAATAGAAGCTAAACCTTTCTTTCTCTACAACTCCATCCTTAGGATTGTGTTGCCAACAACACGTTTCTATCGCTTTTCTTTTCTTCCCCAGCCTACTTTTAAACACGGCTAAATTATTTATCTGTAGTTGCATAGCAAGTATTTTTACTATGGAAAGGGCAGGCAGCGTTAATAATTGAGTCTGACAATACGTTAGTTCGAGTGTCTTGGGACCATACATTAACAAGGTTGAGCTATGAATGATAGAAGATAGGCATTGGCAACATGTGTAGGACACAGATGGTTTGCCGATATCGCTGCTCTTCATCGCCAGCTGCGGCTAGTACCAGACACTATCTGGGATTATTACCTCTGGTCATTCAGCCTCAATCGAAAATATCGAACAATTTCGACTCGTTCCAACTTTTAACATTTTTAAAACACATTATTCAAAGCGCCAATCTTTATTTATTCGTCTTCATTAAAGGTGAATGTGAAGTAACTTGGTACGAAATGACGTGAGATGATAGCGCGTGTAGTAGTCGGAGAGACACTTAAAAATGGCGCCTTTTGGTCGATAAAGCCAGCGACATTTAGTAGCTGCTATCTAGGGTGACGCAGCTTGGATGTGTTTATCTTTAATTGCGATAAGGAGAAATGAGTTTCAGATTTTCCGGTCAATTTCCAGAGGATGCCATTATCTGCCACCGGAGGGAGTTTTAAATACACCGTGTTTAGCTGAATTTCCTTCGGTTTTTCATTCCTTGGACCCGCTTCCAGGCTGTCAATAAATTTTTTCAAGGGCTGCAAAACTTTATTTATTGTAACTGCATTTATGTTTCGACTTATTTGCGGAAATATAATAACAATATAAATTAGGTGGCTTCTTATTTTCGAAATTTATGATAGATTATAATGCCTTTAATGAGATAATCCAGGAAGAAAACACTTTAATCAATTTGTTAGAGTATGTCGGACGCATTCACCTCTAACTCAACCATAATATCAAAGATCGGTTTTGGAGACAGTTTGTGCTGATGCACGAGTCTTGGTCGTCAGATAAATCTGTCCCCTATCTCCCATAGGGCGAATTTAAGTGTGGCATGGTCCCCGAGTGTCCGACCGCTAGACATACTCCTACCAAATTACACGGCCACTGCCGGCAATACATTTCCACTGAAAAAAAATTAAGGTCCATTCGGATACTTCGCCACACTGCATTTCTGTCGAACTACGAGTCCCGCGGGCATCTTGTCGCCTTCGTCATTGTGTCTTTCCATCTTCTTGCAACTTTCATCCACGCACCCTTTCTTATCGGATCGGCTTTTGCTGGCACTGTGTCATCACTACACAATAGAAGGATTCAATAACCTCCACATTACCGTTCTGCTGTAGCCTCTCGGTGGCTAGTCAAGCGTTTTCTCCGTCCTCTCTCCGAGACATCCCTGCATCCATTGAGGAAATGCTCCTCTTGGTCCACCGAAACCAGCTGTAATGACAGATGCTAAGTTCTTTAGAAAGAGAGAGAGAGAGAGACCCGTCTCTCAAGAACTGCTGGCCTCGTTCCGGTCGTGTGAAATCGCTAACTCTGTAGCAATATCTCTCAATAGTAGCTTTATTTCTTTGTTTGAATTGTCTTTATTCAAATCACGTGTTAAACCCTTCAATAGAACCGTGGAAATGAATGGAAAATGCATTATATAAGTGAAGATCTTCCGGCTATTAACACCTATTAAATTTAACAAGGAAGAAATTCGACTGGCTTTCGAACTTAATAGCATTTCCTCCGGTACGACCTCATCCAACTTTTAGAATGCGTTGGATGAGACCTGAATGAACAATTGCCGAGGGTGTGTCCCTAATAGCCAAAGCGGAACATTATGTGCTAACTATATTAGTCGTCGTGTCAGCACGAGCTCAGATACGTGGCATCGGTAAACGGATGGAAGGTTATATTCGTTATCTCATCACAACATCTGATGTCGTGATCGTTTTAAAACGCCAACATGGCATAAATCTAGTTTCTTCTCCCTTCGGATACTTCTAAAATGCTACCCAGCTTCTCCACGATCGCACTTAGGGGCCTAGTCTTACCCTTGTATCAGAATCTCTCACTGCACAACGGGGAGTGAACGTAGAAGTTTCCTTAATGTAACGTTTACGTTTCGATTTCATTTTATATGAAAATATCCTATTTTACTGCGTTTTTAATAAGATATTTTCGTGCTTTCAGATAATAGAATCAGAATGAGATTTAATTAGAGAGAATGCTGTCAGATTCTTGCTGCAACATCCCCATACCTAGAAGGATCTGGCAAACATACCGGTTCCTAAACTGCCCGAAGATCTCTGCTTACCGGAAATTGCATTCTGTGGCAGCACTCTCCTCTCAGTTATAAGCCGGCACATAGCGCACGCCCGGTTGATGGCCCGGAGCGCTTTCCGAGGAATCGAACCCTCCTGCGGAATTAGAATGACAGAATTATCTAGGGGAAGAGATAGGCGTACCTTAACTATGGCGCACGTTGCCAGTGTTTATAATGGTAAAGGTAGGTCGAGTCTGCCACGCACCATTGCGCCAACTGGGCCAAGTCTAAACCATTATTGATTTTACAGTCGTGGCTGCCACACCGCCGTAAAATCAATATTCACTGGCGAAATTAGACGCCAGATGGGAGCCGAAGACTAGCACGACATGCTGCGGCTGACGACTGAAGTACAAACAGGCCGGAAGATGAAAGGAAATCCCTACGTCCTTCGAAAACATAACCGTAAATTCGGTAAAAAGTACGTCGGAAAAAAGGGGAAAGCTAGCGAGAGAACACACGTCAATAACAGATGGTTGACAGAACTTTAATATTCTGTTTATGTAGCTGACTGCATAAGGATGGACTAATGGAGCGAAACAGTATATCTTCTATTCCTTAATGCGGAATGTGGCATGCTATCGAGATCCAAACTTGGACTGGATGTCGAGGGATAACTGCGCAATATCCCACCCCTTCCAGTTTGTTCCCTTAAGTGTAAAATATTATACGGCGGTGAATATTTTGGCAAAAATTTTAAAGGTAACCGGAAAAAACATGTTTTTTTTTCCGCCACTCCGGCGTGACCGCTTTTCTGATCAGTAAATAAATACCGTCCACAAGATCGGTGTCCGAGTCCGAGAGTAATTGGCTGATGGTAGATGTTGTTCCTGAGGGCTTGCAAGTTCATCTTGTCCAGCGAAGATGAGAAGTTAATCTCGTCAACAGGCCTCCGTTCATTACGTGCGAGACACCCGACAGTTTTAGTACGTATAAAATTGCAGTAAAAGTGCAAGCGGCGTTAAACTGACTGCAGATAAACGAAAGAGAGAGACGCGATTCAATTTGAAGCATTGAATAAGTGAGGCAGCACTTCATTTAGCGAGAAATTGGCGATCCTTGACACTGGCAAACACCACCCTTCCAAGACAGACAAGATAACAGGATAGATGCCGAAACTAATGGATTTGTTTGAAACTCCTTTCGCCAATTTATTATTTTCTCCTCTTATTTTTTCTTCCTCCCTTCCCACTCGAAAGTTATAAATGAAAACTTTCATGCAAATCTAGTTATAATAATATCGATAGATGATTTGGAAATTAAGGTTATACTATTATTCCTGTTGGATGAAATTGTTGCAATTTTTGTAGTTTAAAAATTAGATTTCTATCC